TTATGCAGAGTCACCTTGGGCCTCGGGTATGGGGGCCAGGACAGCTGGGTAACCTTTAGGCTAAGGTTGATGTGGCATTTGGAGCCCGTCTGGAGACCTCATTGGTGCTGTGACATCGTTTGGACTGTGAAAACTGCTTCAGATTGTTCTAGCCAGGCTTGGAAGCTCGGAGAGAGACTATCTTCACTTTTAGAAGCTTAAAAATTCCGTATAATGGGAAGCTGCTTCATGTGGGCTGATATGAGTGACTGCCAGCCAGCTCTCTCCCTGCTGGGGCAGGGGTGGCCAGGCTGTGATCTGAGGACCTAGCCTGTGTATACACAGTCCATGTGCTTTGGAGGTGTGTGTCTGTGATGGGTGAGTGTGTACCCAGCGGAGGGGAGAGGTTGCACCCATGGTGCTGATGATAACCTGCAGGTGTGTGCGTGCACATGGCGTGTTCATGTCTAGATGGAGAATGTCCCTGTGTCCGTGCTGGCAGCGTGTACACAGACTGCACATGTGTGTACATGGGCACAGGGCAGGCTTGCCATGAGCTCTTTCTGGTGGGTGTGACAGGAAGAGAGCCCCAGTAGGCTGGAATCCTGTTAGCACTTAGGTTTGCCTGCCCCTTTCTTCCCCACCTAAGGCTGACGTATTTAGATAGGAAGAAATCCTCAGCCTTCCAAGGCCCAGTTGATAGTCTTTTTTAAAAAAGATTTATTTATTTTTTATATATACAGTGTTCTACCTGTTATGTGTGCTGGCAGGCCAGAAGAGGGCACCAGATCTCATTACAGATGGTTGTGAGCCACCATGTGGTTCCTGGGAATTGAGCTCAGGACCTCCGGAAGGACCTCAGGACCTCTTAATCACTGAGCCATCTCTCCAGCCCCCAGCTGATGGTCTTTATTTGTTTTATCAGCATGGATTTTCTTTAGTGGGGGCTCTGACACATATCTACCTGGGGAGGGAGTGGTCCTGTTTTCCCTACCATCTTCAGGCTCTGCCAGCTCTGGTCCTTGAGGCTCAGGGATCCACACCCTGTTAAACTCCCCTCTTAGCAGAGGACTTTAGACTGTCTGGCTCCACAGGGAGTCTGGCTGGGGTTTCCGATCCAGTCCTTGGGAGCTTTTGTCCTCAGTCAGGCAGCTACTTCCACATCCTGACCCATCTCTCTGTTGACCCTGAGGAGTGGGTGGAACCTTGCAAGTGGCCTTTGCTGCAAAGTAGCTGGACCTGGAGGCAGTGTGGACTCTCCTTCTCTGAGACCCCCTGGTAGGTCAGGGCCTCTGCAGCCTCTCCCCGACCCCAAACAGAAACCATTGCCTCCTAGTTGCCTCTCTGGGGGCTGCTGAGGTCAAAGAAGTAGATTGCATTCTACCTGGAGACAGCTTGCTCCATGAAGACCATAATGGTCCCCCATCTGCAAAATGCTAACAGCGTACTGTCAAGACACACATCTCCCTTTCCTTCCTCAGGAGTAGGGTTTTTCTAGCTGCCACTCATAGGGGTGGCCTCTGTCTTCTGGGCCCTGGGAGTGCCAGTCATCAGAGACAGGCCTACTGGAGTGACCATCCATCCACCGTGGTAGTGGCAGGTTCTCACAGCTATAAGCCAACCTTGGGGCAGGCACTGGGGACAGGATTCCCTCCAGACTGACAGCCTACTGTACAGAGAAGCCCATGCGATCCCAGCCAGGAAGGGTGTTAGCTCCTTGAAGATGATCACAGCCATAAGCAGCTGGATTGGAACTGTCTGGTCTTGTGAATGCTTCTTGGTGGGAGCTGGTGCCCAGCAAGTACCCCGGACACAGACAGGACCCTTAGTCCACGCAGTCATGATGTCATGTAATCCACATGGTGTCTATGTGGATTAAGCCCTTGACTTGAAAGGAAGAGAGGCCTTTGACAGTTGATGCCTTAGCGTAGCCTTTGACCACAAGGCGCCAGGAAGGGAATAACACACCTGGCGTGTTTTATGACTGCGCTGAATGGCCAGGCTCAATGAGCACTGAGTCTGCTCACAGGTCGGGAAGTCAGAAGAGTGGCTGCTGAGACCTACAGGCTGCTCTGCCCAGGCTGCTCTGCCCAGGTTGGCACAAATGCAGGTGGCCCCAGGTCGGCAGACTTCCTCAGGCCGCCTGAAACTGGGGCCCTGTTTCCTTGACTGGGCTGCTAGGTGTAATTAGCCATCCCCAGCCCTCTCTGAATCCTTCTCTGTGTGTGAAATGCGCAGAAGACGATGGCAGGCAAACAATGCTATGAGCAAAGCTGGTGCCATGTCCAACCCCAGTGAGCCAGGCTGCCTTCAGGAACACTCAAACACTCAGCCAGTCATGTCTGACGAAAACAAGCTAGGCAGTCCCGATCCTGAGTTAGACCACCTGCATCCCCTTAGTCGGTGGACCGGGAGGGTTCAGTGTGTAAAGCGCTGTTAGCACAGGAGATGGAAACAGCGCTTGCATTCCCCTTGTGCACAGCTTCCTGCTTTCTGGCACAGCATTAGCTCATCCTGGAGGTGCTGTCCTATGAGAGGTGTTGTTTAGCTGGGGACCATCTCACATGGCAAGCAGAGGCTCATGGGATTATTAGGGGGTGATTTCCTATCTAAAGAAGAAAGGCTTGGGCCAGGGAAGTTGCTCAGTGGCCCAAGGGCTTCATACAAGTATGAAGGACAGAGTTTGGAGTCCCAGAAGTCCTGTAAATGCTGGATGGATATGACAGGCCCTTGTAATTTCGGTCTAGGGAGGCAAAGAGAAGGAATCCCCAGTGCGAGCTAGCTAGAGCAAGACTAGCCATGTCTGTGATGTCTGGGTCTTATTTTGTTTTGTTTTAGTTTTGTTTTTCGAGACAGGGTTTCTCTGTGTTGGCTTTGAAGCCAGTCCTGGAACTAGCTCTTGTAGACCAGGCTGGCCTCGAACTCATAGAGATCTGCCTGCTTCTGCCTTCCAAGTGCTGGGATTAAAGGCGTGTGCCACCACCGCCCGGCTTGATGTCTGGGTTTGATGACAGATCCTGTCTCAGTAAGGTAGAAGAGTGGAGGAGAATGAATTCCCAGCATCCACCTCTGGCCTCTACAAATATGCTCTATGCACATGCAAACATGCATACCTATAAAAATAGATTAGGGGGAAAAAGAGGAAGGGCTGATTTGTTCATAGGCAGAGGAATGTGGTCTTGATTTCTAAGGGAAAATACTCTCTGGTCCTGCCCTGGCTGTGTAAAAATAGGGCTCTAAACAGCTGCTTGCCTTGTTAGAAGTGTGAGGTGGCTTCTACACCTGGTCATACACACTCCATCTGTTGATCGGGGGATGGGGGTCCAGCTGTATCCAGCCATCTATGTGTTTTTCTCATGTGAGCTCCACAGAGGGAACTTGCAGAACATCTGGCTTTCAGTCAGCCCATGGCTATTACAGTGACCTGTCTCCAGCTTTGAGCAGCTTCCAGCTCATGGGAGCTCAGCGGGGGCTGAGTGTTTGTCTTGGAATAGAAGCAGCCTGAAACACTGTTTGCTCGACAGTAACCCCAACTGCAGCCTAGATAGATAAGCATGGTAATGTGCAGGCACCCGAGTATTTAGCGCTCCCTTGGTGATGTCACTCAGGGCCCCTGGAGGTCCACATCTGTCCCCAAGTGGCAGAACTCTGTCTGACAAGCCTGCGGGACAGGGCTTTGTGCAGAAAGCGTCCGCCATCCCTGGCTCTTCTGTATGTCTGTCTACCCACCTGCTCGTCTGTCTGTCCACTGAAGACAGACACAGTTCCTGCACTTCCCCCTTCACGCATCCCCTTCTGCTCTCCAGTGCCATCATGTAGGGAAACCGGGTTCCTCCACAGCTTGAGCTTCCTTCGGCGCCCCTCCCTTTTGTTCCCGGGCCCCTTCTCCCACTGGGATGATTCTCAGCCCTCTGGGGCAACAGCTGACAACCAACCTCCTCTTCTTAATGATTCAGTCTCAGAGCCGCAGGCTTCCTGGCTCTAGCTTCCGCTTCTCTCTGCCTTGCTTAAACAAGGCTCCAGGGACTCCTCGTCCAAATTAAGGTAGCACCTGGTGACAGGTTGGAATGTCCAAGTGTCCCATCTGTGAGAGACAGTGAGCGTGTGGATAAGCCGTCCCCGTGGGGTGGAGTTCTCTTCAGCCTGAAGGTCTGGGTGTTTGCTGGAGCCTGGGGAGACCAGGCAAGTTCCCCACATGTCCCTGGCTCAGGAGGTCTCTTTAGCCATTATGAACAGGAGCTAAAATGTAAGGAGCCTGCCATGTGAGGGTGGGCTCTTACCTGACACCATGCCAAGGGACATGTCTGAGCTGGCATCTTTATCTCTGAACCGCTGGCTTCTGTTTATCATTTATAGCACACTTCCACAGTCTACTTGAAAACTACAGGGCTCTGACTTTGTTTCGGATGTGTCCCCCCCCCCCAAAGATCCTGGCAGAAGACACTTGGCAGACCTTCCCTAGACATTTGATGTGACTGTGTGACAATAAGCCCTTTTAATCATTCATAAGGGGATTAACAATGCATTGATTATATTATTTAATCATAAAGCAATTGCTTGTGAATTGTGTACAAATTATTTGTGTTTCTGTAAGTCTAGGAGGGGTAAGGAAAAAACTCGCAAATGAAATGCTGAGATAATTGCTTGTCAGTACAGGGACCTGTGTACCACATCAGGAGGAGGAAACGGTCTTTGGTCCGGTGCTGAATAGACTCTGTCCACCTGCCCTTTTGACATGAGGGTGGTGGATCTTCCTAGACTTAGATGCCACTTGAACACGTGCTCTGAACACCCTAAGCGATGTGCACGTGCTGTGAACGTGGGTATACAGAATGGGAAGAGAGTATCATGAAACAGACCCAGGTCTGCTTCCAGCGTAGAATGCGCCTTAAGTCTTTCGTATCTTTCATACTGCATTCACTGTGGGAGACTCTGCCTTTGGCTGCAGCCAAGCAGCTCAGCGTTGGGGCCGAACAGAGCATGCAGCAATTACAAAAATGAATCCACTCTGCATTTTGCAGGATACAAGACCCTTTTGAAAGGGATCTCTGGGAAATTCAACAGTGGAGAGCTGGTGGCCATCATGGGTCCTTCTGGAGCTGGGAAGTCCACGCTCATGAACATTCTGGCGGGATACAGGTGAGCAGATGCCAGCAGAGAAAGCTGTGTGAGGGGCGGAGCCACTTCAGGGCTGTCGTCCCTGAAAGCATTCCATCATGGATAGCATTTGCTACCGGAAGTTGTGCTCACATGGACTCCTGGGAAACCGAGCATATGTGAGCATGTGTGCGTGTGTGTGTGTGTGTGTGTGTGTGTGTGTGTGTGTGTGAGTGTGTGTATGTGTGTGGTGCATGCTGTCTCCAGAGCTTGAGAGTCGAGGCGGGAAATCATGCAGAGAAGACAGTGACGAAAGCCTGTACCTGCTGATGGCTGCACAGGCCATGAAGAAGAGACCCCAGGCAGATGGACAAGGCAGTTTCCTAGTTAGCTCTGTCCTCTCAGTATATCCTCTGGACAGGAAAGTGTATGAAGGTCAAGATCTGGAAGAGCAGTGGTCAGAAGACAGAGAGCCAGTAGGGCGGCATGCTGGACAGTTACATGAGGCATGGCAGAAGAGAATGAGGAGCTGCTGTGTCCAAGGCCTGTGGTTTCCATGGTTGTTCAGGGCTTTAGGGGAATCACCATTCCCAAGGTCACACCAAGGTCATTCATTGGTGAATGATTCTAAAGTAGAACCTTTCTAAGTGATTAAGAAAGGCTTTCTAAAATCCTGCTCTTCGGTTTTCACAGAGCAAGGAATGGCAGCAACAATCATCCACAGTTAACCATGGACCAAAAGAATTAAAACTCCAGCCTAAAAAGTTCATACTTTTACTTGCACACATCTTTTAAAAAGAAATATGATGCGACCTGATGCCGCCTTTGTTCCATCCAGGACACGGATCAGTGTAGCCACATTTCATGCCTGTTAACTGCCTAGGCTACCAGATTGGTGGAGAGATGTGGGATTTTGTTCAAGGAACCCTTGCTTTTCTTAATAACGTCCCCAAAGTACAAGGACAGGCATGTTGACAATTTCATTACAACACATTCTAACTGTCCTATTAGTTGTTATTATTAATTTTTTACCATGCTTAATTTGTGTGTTAACACACACAACATAGGAAAAGTCATGGTCATATAGAGTACAAAACTCCGCATGGTTTCAGTATCTGCTAGAATGTATTACTTGCTTTCCTGTTACTGTGGCCGAATTCCTGTAGCAGAGGGAGCTTAAGGGAGCAGGGTTTGTTCTGGCTCACGGTCTCGGAGGGAACAGTCATGGGAAAGAAGGCACAGCAGTTGAAACAGAGGCAGGGCCAGGCTTCAGCCTTTAAAAGCCTGTCCTTAGTGACTCACCTCTACCACCCAGGCCCCACAACCCCCCATTTCAGTACCACAAGCTGGGGATCTGAGGGGGGGGGGACATTTCAGATACAAGCCTGAACATACTATAACCCCTGAGACCCATAATACTAATTATTTCAGTAACTGGGATGGGAGCTGAAAGATAAACCTCACTGTTCCTTAGAGTTCTGAATTGCTTCTTAATATCAGAGGTTCTGATTTTCAAAATCGTCACCATGACAAGTTCTTGTCCATTACATTCACATCAAAATATCAAAGCTAAAGTCTCTACTCCCTGAGTCAAGGCAGAGAGGGAGCCTAGTCGGGTATTTTTAGGGGGCTGGCTGTTTTTGAGAACAGCACAGCAGTTCCTAGAAGACCAAGGGTGCTTATGCATTCCAGAGGTGCAGAGGCAGCCCTGCCAGGCTGGATACCCAGAGGAAGCCAGGGGAGCTGCCCATTGCCTGGGAGCGCCCTCTGCCTTGACAGTGGGCCACAGGAAGTTGGAACCCAGAATGGTTCCATCAGTCCCCACAGGTTCCATAACACTACAGTTCTCCATGGCCACAGGGAGGCAGAGCTGAGAAGATGTGTCATTGGGAAGAAAGGCCCAGTGTGTACATGCCTGAGGAGCCGACAGGAGGCTACTAGAGCAGTGTCCTCCGACCCTATTAAGACATAGGAGGCTCCCAACCTCTCACCTGCAGTCAGAAGGTTCTCCCCTTGCATCAGGACCAGTCATGGTCTGAACTGCTGTGCCTGGGATGCTGTCTCTGAGCTACCCAAGGCATCCGCTGTGTGCACCTGTGATCCTGGAACAGTTGGTGTCGTCTGGGCTGCAAATAGAGTAGCCATTGGTGTACATCCTTGCCCTGCAGCTGTATCGAGGGACGTTCCCAGGTGTGCTTGTGCAGCAGGCAAAGAGAAGCCATTTCCTTCTGGTGTGATAAACATGCCATTTGGGAAAGGCCTGGTGTGTGGCTTGTCTCCCTGATGGCCACTTGCTCCTGGCAGAGTACTAGTGTGGTTCTCTGGGTCTCTGGTCCCTCTGCCCCATCCTGTTGCCATGGTGAATGGTTCTGCTGGGAAGAGCCCAGGAGGGAGGGAGGCTCCCTCTCTTGCTTGCCTCTCCAAGCCACCTGAAGGTGGGATGCTGAAGGAGCTGATTGGCAGCCACTTCTCTGCTTGTCTTTGCAGGGAGACCGGCATGAAGGGGGCAGTCCTCATTAATGGCATGCCCCGGGACTTGCGCTGCTTCCGGAAGGTCTCGTGCTACATCATGCAGGATGACATGCTGCTGCCTCACCTCACCGTTCAGGAGGCCATGATGGTGAGCCACCCCTGCCCTTGGGACAGCACAGGCTTGCTGCACCTGGCCATATCCAGTTCGTTCCCTCTAAGATGCTGCCCCAGGCTTGCTGCTTACACAGCTTTGTGGAACATCATTCCCCAGACTAGAAGTTTTAATAGCTCTCATTTGGCAGAGTCACAATCAAGTTTCTGAGATTATCGATCACCTGGTTGAATGATTGTTTCCATGGTAACCAACTTCCTATTTACCCTTGGGCTAAGCAACTTCCCCTCTTCTTAATTAAGGTTTCTATTGTTATAATAAAACACCATGACCAAAAGCATGATGGGGGGAGGTATTTGAGCTTATAATTGTAGCCGATCACCTAGGGTGGGGCAGGAAACTGGAAGCAAGGCCATGGAAGAATACTGCTTACTGTCTTGCTCCTCTTGGCTTGCTCAGCCTGCTTTCTTATAGCACACAGGACCACCAGCCCAGGGCTGGAACTTGCCCACAGGCCAGTCTGGTAGGGCCATTTTCTCAGTTGAGGTTCCCTCTTTCCAAATGACTCTCGCCTATGTCAAGCTGGTATAATCTAGGTCTTTTCTGTTCTGGGGTAACTGTCTGTCTTCTAGGTCTTTTCTGTTCTGGGGTAACTCTATGTCTTCTAGGTCTTGCTGTGAAATATATCTGCTTTCAGAAACACATACGGTCAGATCCTCAGTTGAGGGCTTTCACGGTTCCGTTTCTCTTTACTCTTCTGTCCCTCGAGATCCTGTCTTCCATGGTCTCCACTTCTTGACCGCCAGCTACTGACCTACAGGCTTTGTACATTTTTATGTGTTTTTTGTTTTGTTTTGTTTTGCCTCGTGTCCACTGTGACAGGTACTTGTAACACTCGGTGTCACAAGACAGGCAGCTAGTCTTACAGAGGTGATGTAGGCCTACCCTTGTCCCACTCTGAGGTCTGGGGCCTCTTCAGTCCCCTCCCTTGCCTCTCAGTCTCTAACCTGACCCCTTCAGCAACTTCATCAATTAATGAGGTAGATTTTAAACTTATTTTCAGGCTGGTAAGGAAACTGAGGGCCAGGTGTCCCCAAGAACACAGAGTCTGGTATAACTGAAACAGGGCTGAACCTGGGCTGGGTAATTCAGGCTCTGGGTTTCACCAGGTAAGGCTAGGGACCCCATATTATACTGCAAGGCTGGGGACCTCATCCTATCCTGGTAAACAAGCCAGGAAGTTCACCCTGCTATCCCACACCTGCTATCTGTAGATCCTTCCAGAGTGACAACCTCAAGTCAGCAATGGTTTATCTCCTGATCTGTGGAGGTCCTGACTGGGTCCCCTCCCAGGCGGTCTTCACACCCTGCTGCCTAAGGTTTCCTTGTCTCTGTGCTGGGCCAGAGACATCTCCTGGACACCTGAGATAAGCAGAAGCATAGCAGCCCCTATGGCTTTCCCAGGACTGCACCCATCAGGCCGTTGGAGTGGGAAAGTGTCCTATGAATCCATCAAGCAGCTTACAAAGCTGATGGGACTCTGGGCCGTGCTGGCTTTGGCTAGGGCATGACCCCTGGACCATGCTTGGATCCCGTAAGACTCGTTCTTCCAGAAGCTGCCTCACTGTTGCCCTTGTCGCCTGCAGGTGTCTGCACATCTGAAGCTGCAGGAGAAGGATGAAGGCAGACGGGAGATGGTAAGTGTGATGCTCCAAGCCACATGTGGTCCAGAGTGTGATGGAAGCACATGCATGAGGGAGCCTGGCGGGGAGGGCTTATTCCTCTTCTAGATTTGTTGTTGTTGTTGTTGATTTTCTTTGCCTCTTCTTGGGTGTGTATGTTAGAGATGGGGGCATCAGAAAGTGTGTGGTGGGGTGCAGTGGCTGGTGTCCAGGAAGGATGATTCTGGGGCTAGATTGACATATAGATCCAGCAGTCTGCTGCCTTAGTCTCACAACCCCCATCCCACCCACCCACGGGCAGAATATGCTAACCTCAGGGCCTGGCCAAGGGCTCCACCCCCTTGGGTGCTTAATACACTTTAGATTAAAATAAATTTTTATGAAATGCTGACAATGGAGATGGTTTAGTCATTGGTTTAAAAATAACCCCCTCTACCCACATACCTTTGCAATGAGAAAGTGGGCTCTTGCATGTTATTAACCAGTCTTTCAAGAAAAGAAAAGAAAAACATTCCCAGCCTATTTGAGACTTTTCTCCTCCCTTTTATCAGTCTTCCTGGCTCCCTGAGCCCTTAAGGATCAGGGAAGGAAGCAAGCAGGGCCCAGCAGGAGCCCTAGGAGGTCGTGGGGGGCAGAGGTGAGGAGTGCTGATCAATCCTTCTTCATGGGCTACAAGAGGGAAGCTCAGCTTGCCTCCTCCTTTCTGTCCCCAGTGCTACTGGGATGCTCTGCAGAAGATAACTGTAGCAGAAGCCCCCCTTCATGATGTTATCTATTCCAAGGCCAGCCAGTGGGGGTGGTGCAGTTTCTGGGGACATTGAGAGTGTGGTGTGAAACGCACCATTTAGATGGACATTATTAAATGCTTACCTAAGGAAGTGTTTTTTATAATTCTGTTCACGTGCATCCTCCTAGGGCGTAGATTGAGGCTGGCATGGAAAAGCAGCTCCGGGCAGCCTGAGGGTTCCCCCTTCCCCTTTCTTACAGCACCCTCACAGTCTTGGGGTTCTCTGTCATGGCAGTGGGGTGTGCAGTGCAGAGAGGAAGAATTCATTTCTGAGATGAAAACAGCTCACTAGGACTACTGAAAATGTTTCCTGGGGAATTCTCTTATTCTGAGATTGTGGGGAAGAAACTGGACCCTTTGTATCCTGTGAAAAATTCAGGGGTCACCTGTGGGCAACAGAATGGGGCTTGGGACCTTGTCATGTCGAGTGGGCTTCAAGAGCCTCTATAGTCGCTGGCCTGTTGTAGGGAACAACCACCTGCTTTTGGTCCCGGCCACCTGGCTAGGTTACACCCAAAATAATCACACAGAAATTGTATTAATTAAATCACTTCTTGGCCCATTAGTTCTAGCCTCTTATTGGCTAACTCTCACATCTTGATTCAACCCATTTCTAATAATCTGCATGTCACCACGAGGTCGTGGCTTACTGGGAAACATTCAGCATGTCTGACCTGGCAACTCCATGGCGGCTCGCTCCCTCTCCCTTCTTCCCAGCATTCAGTTCGGTCTACTCCGAACTAATCTAAGTTCTGCCCTATCAAATGGTCAAGGCAGTTTCTTTATTAAACCAATGAAAGCAACACATAGACAGAAGGACCTCCTACACCACTGGCCTTTTCTGAATAATGTGACTTAGGGCCACCACCCATCCCCCCACACCTCCCGGACTCCCATCCTCAAACCTACCGCCACTGTCCCTGAGAGTGAAGGCTAGAAGAGACAGGCCCAGTGACTGACCCTCCCCCACCAAGGGGATATGCTAAAATTCTAACCCCAGTCCTTCAGAATTAACTGGCTATTTGCAGAGATAATTAAGATAACAGGAGGTCATGGGGATGGCTCTGATCCAATCTCACTGTGCCTTTACAAGAAGAGGAAGTCAGGACACAAGCACACTCAGGACAGCTGTTGAGGACCTGAGGAGAAAACACCACCAGCAAACCCAGCAGAGAGGAGTCAGGAGGGGCTGGGAAGAGCCAGCGCCACCATGCCTTGAGCTTGACCAACCAGCTATCAGACTCTGAGGTGGCCCTCAGTTTGGGACACTTTGTCATGGTAGCCTGAGTTGGCACAAGTCAAGCAACTTTGGGGATGACAAAGGAAAGATCTAGAAAGGAAGAAGGAAAGAGGGGAAGCCAAGCCTCAGAACACAGTGTGCTAAGGTGAGCCTGAGATGACCTGCACCAATGGCCAAGGAACAGGGTCCTCCATCTTCATCTGTGCCTGCTCCTGCTCCCTGCCCCTGCATTCCATCTGCCACTGGTGAGAAGGCACTGGGACAGCCGTGGGACAGGCAGAAGCTGGAAGTGAGTCCAGGTGGAGCTCTTTCGTTTGGAGCATCCACATGGCACCTGGTGACAGATCAGAAGACTGTGGTAGCCCTGGGACCACCTCCCATCCACCAGCCTCTCAGGCTCAAGTCTTTACACCGCTAAGATCAATGTAAGTGTAGGGTGGAGAGATGGAGGCGGAGCTGTTTCTCCACAGCTGTGGCTCTGTGACCAGCCTTATATGTGTAGCTGAAGAAGTAGACATCACATGACCCAGGTCTCTGAGCAAATGACCACAGTGAGGCAGGCAATTGGCCTCCCATCTTTGCCTGTGATGCTGTTTGGTACTGTCAGCGTCTGGCTTCCAGCCACTCTTCTGGGTGGTGGGTGGGCCTCAGGAGCCCATTCTGATGTTGGAGTAGAAGATAGCTTTCTTTGGAGAAGCCTGGAGCCTTCTGGGAGTCATAGCTAGGCCTCAGACCGACAGGACTCTTACATGTGCACAACCTCCATCATCCTGGTCCAAGAAATGTCCCCGAGAGTACCAAGCCTAAAATTTCCTCCAGTCATGGTTTCTGTGTTGAGTGTCATAGTAAGCCAGCCTCATAGGACTGAGGGATAGGTGTGTCCTGCATGTGTTTGTTTACTAGAGATCTTACTTGCGACAGCCCTCTTCTCAGCTGAACACAGTTCCTGGCTCTTCCAAGAACCCATCACAGGCGTCTGAAGGGCAGATTTACGGCTGGACACTTCCTGACTCATTTCCCAGCAGCCCCCACAGTATCTCAGTGCATGCTGTGGGTAGCGTGTGGAAAAACAATGGAATGGAATGTTCTCATACATCATGGAGTATGTTGTTCACAGACTCCCTTGTTTCCCAGAAAAGGCGCCTTGGCCCTGAGGAGCCCTCTGGTACAGCGGCTTCCTGGAGAGGGAGGTTGCCATGGGCCAGTCTGGGGGTGCTGAGACCATCCCTAGACAGTGAGGCCCCAGGAGGGCTTGAATTACAAGTGACAGTGGGAACTTTTTGTTTCATTTTGTTTTGTTGGTTTGCTTATTTAGAGAAGGGAAACATAATTTTTAAAAAGTGACAATGTTGGTTTTTTTTTTTCCTTTCTGACTACTTTTAAACCAAAACCAAGCCAGGTATTATTACTTACTTCTAAGACCAAACTAGAGAGAACGGGCCAGGCCTGATGGTTGTAGAAACATGGTCATGTGGGCAGAAGGACAACCACCAGTGGTGGCCTCTATTTCCACTTCTCTGGCATAAAAGTAAACAAGAAGGGTGTACTTAGTGTATGGAATGCCCCCACAGAGGAAAGACCCCAAGCATGTTGCCAAATCAGGCACCTGTCTGTAAGAGCCCGGAAGCCTTGCGCAGGGAAGATAAGGACATTGAGACAAGAAGCAAAAATGCCAAAAAGAAATACCTGTCCACTGTGGTGCTGCCTCCTGGCCCTGCCCAGACAGCCACACTGAAGCTCTTCCCAACTGGCATCCATCTCTCAAAGGCATGGCATCCCAGAAGGAGACCGTGGTGCTGGCTTGAGAGCATCGGCAAGAATAGGCAGAGCAGGACTTGATCCCGGGTCCCTGGCCCCACACTGCTCCTACTCCCAGCCCCTCAGCACTGAATCCCGAGTGGTTCTGCCCCCAGAGTTTCAGTCTTTACTGACCATGTGTAAATAATTGAGAAGGCAGAGTGGAAAGTTTTCTTCTTTGTGAGTTCTTCTCTTGGATGACCTCATCTCCCTAGAGAAGCCACTGGCCAAAGTCCTCCTGGTATAGCCACCAGGGACTGGCTGCCTCAGAGCTGTCCCACCTCTGGGCAGACTCTAGAGGGAATCTCTGAGCCCCCTGGAGAGGAGCCTGGTAGGGATGTGGCACCTGGATGAGCCTCTCCTTCCCAAGAGCCTGCTGACCTGTTTGTTCCCGGAGCCAACACTAGGTCACCATCCTGTGGCTCCGCACACAGCCAACTGTGCCTGTCTCTGTTCTCAGCCTTCTCCCATAGCCCTGAGCACAGAGTGGCCACAGTGCCACTTAGAGTACAGATCTGCTTGCTGCCTTGAGCCACTCACCTGTTCAGGTGGCCTCCTGAAAGGGCTGGCTTGGAGGGGGAGCGGGTGTCAGGGGACTTGCTGGCATTCTTCATGTGGGATGAGAAACATGGGTGATAGCTGTCGGGGGTACTTACTGTGCGCCCAGTGTTCCAACAGGGCACTTTGCATGACTACATTAGATGGCCAGTGACTCTTTGTGCTAGTCACAGACCCAATCGTCCATCCACTCGCGTGTTTATTAATCCATCTGTTCATCAAATATTTATAGGACATTTCTTCATGCCAGACGTTAGGTTCAGCTTAGAAGTGGGGATGACATCAGGTCACCAGCCAGAGGCGGAGAGAAGACTCCAGCCCTTGACTCGAACTTCCAACGCTACTTCTTGTCTCTCAACAGCTCTTCCTGTCTCTCTAGTCAGGGCCACGGGTTTAGAGGCAGAATCTGCCACTCGGCTTGGGGATGGCCTGAGACAGCCCAGCAGTGTAGACATCTGTGTATGGACTAGTGAGGTTGAGCCCAGCAGGGGAGGGCATCCCACAGAGCTCAGCATATGTTCCTGATAGCCATGGTACTGGAAGGCTGTTTCCTAATAGAGACTCTGGGTTTGTTGCCCACAGGTCAAAGAGATCTTGACGGCGCTGGGGTTGCTGCCCTGTGCCAATACACGGACGGGGAGCCTATCAGGAGGCCAGCGAAAGCGCCTGGCCATTGCTCTGGAGCTGGTCAATAACCCTCCTGTCATGTTCTTCGATGAGCCCACAAGGTAAGCCTGTGTCTGGTGTCTGGACTGGTGACCAGAGAAGGGACAGGGAAGAGTTCCTTCTAGAGTCTATTCTGAGGTTCTTAGAGGTTCAACATCTTGGTATGGCCTTGGAGGAGCTGCAAAAGGCTTCCCTGTCTGTGGGATGGCAGGACAAAGTCACTGGCTCAGGGGCTTGTGTGTACTTGGGGACATGGGATACTGAATGTGGAGATACTGTTGGAGTTTAGAAACAGCTTCATAGTGCTTGTCTCTCCCTTATTCCCGAGTTGCCAGTGGTATAGTCCCCTGAAGGCTAGTGTTCTGGGGCATTCTGAAGAAGGGGCTTGGTGTCTTGTATTTTGAACAGCCCCTCCAGTTTTGAGTGGCTCACTGCCTTTGTGTGACCATGTGAATCTTGACTCCTATCCTGGCCTCGAGTCCTGGCTCTGGAGAACCCTGGTCACTAGTTAGTCATCCAGCCTTTCTTCTGAGCATGTTGTATTCAGGCATTCCCGACAGGGTAGCCTGGCCGCACAGGGCTTGTCCTGACTGACTATCTCGATTTCGTCATCTCCTCCCCACCATGTGCTCATCTCGTGGATGCCCACTGAACCTGAGAACTGTCTCCAGCATCCTAGGAACGGTCACATCCACCTTAGCCCAGCCAAGTGCCGAGGCCACACTGGGTGGTACTTAGGAAGGCCCAAAAGACAACTGCAGGACCCTTAAAATTGCCTCTTGTAGGCTCACTGCCCTGGGGGAAGCGAGCAGTCAGGGTACCCACTGTGTCTCGCTCCCTTGTGGGGAATGGCATAGAAGTGAGCCGGGTTTGGGAGTGTTCAAACAGGAGTGGAGAGAGTTCCCCCGGACGGCCAGATCCTGTTAGACCTTGCATACCTAGGATGCTGGCAGAAGGATACCTCCCCTCAAAAGGCATCAATATGATCCATAGACCATCAGAAGGAGCACAGCCATAGCCCAATGCACCCCCTCTAACATTCCCCAAGTGGGCCAAAGGGTATGGCATTAGGATACTGACTGCCAGGCCCTATTGCTCAATTTGGAGTCCAGCTATTTACTCAGACAGTCCTGATGGTCTCTGGCCAAGGCAAGTGGGGATCCCCTCCCCCACTCCACAGCTAGTCCTTCAGGAATCTGCTGGGCTCCTGCATTCTTGCCAGAAGTGACATACAGCGCACACAGCCCCCACTGAAGTGTCACCCTTGAACAGTTACACAGGCCGAGAAGAGCAGGACCTTGGGGTACAGCTACAGGCCCTATGATAGGCCCTCTCTCAGTAGTGACCTGGGGCCCTGGGCTTCTCCCTCATATTCTCAGCTTCTCGTGGTGTCTTTGACTTGCAGTGGCCTGGACAGTGCCTCCTGCTTCCAGGTGGTGTCACTGATGAAAGGCCTGGCCCAGGGTGGCCGATCCATCGTCTGCACCATCCACCAGCCCAGCGCCAAGCTCTTTGAGCTCTTTGACCAGGTACGTGGGCCCCACCCTTGTCCAGGTCCTTGACCTAAATCTCCTCCCCAGAGTCTATCCCAAGATCTCTGATGGGACTGAGATAGCCTGGGGAAATTAGACCCTGGGTCCTTATTCTTTCTACTGGTTTTCAGGGTAATTAGCTGGCTGGTTGGTTAACTAGCTGGTTGACTGACTGATTAATGACTGGCTGGTTGAATAACTGGTTGACTAGCTGACTGACAAGATGACTGACCAGTGGGCAGGCTGACTGGTTGACTGACAAGCTGACTGACCAATGGGTAGGCTGGTCAACTGACTGACCAACTGATGAAGGATTGACTGAGTGAGAGCCTCCTTTGCTTTCCAGAGGTGAAGGCTGTGGTTGATGCCTTTCTCTTTTCCTTCCCCTCAGCTTTACGTCCTGAGTCAAGGACAGTGCGTGTACCGGGGAAAGGTCTCGAATCTCGTGCCGTATTTGAGGGATTTGGGTCTGAACTGCCCTACCTACCACAACCCTGCAGACTTTGGTGAGTAAAACCCACCCAGAGGGAAGGGAAAGGACCCCTGCCCCATCTTGTGTGTTCTGATGTGATATGATGCCTGAGTCTGGAGTCACTGCCTTGTCTCACCAATGGGACAGGACCATCCTATGGTGGAACCTCAGGCAGGCCTCTCCCTAGGAGGACTTGTCTAATGACCAGACTCCACCCATCTTTGCTTGTCCTCTTGTGAGTCATCCCCTCTATGACTAGACGTAGGACCAACTCTGCATCCATGACTTCTTCTCTATAAGAACCCTACTACTCGAGGCCACTCTGAGATCCCATCTGGACAACCCCCCTTTGTGACCTTTCTCCCACAAATATTTCTTTCAAATATCTGATCCCTCGGCCCCCAGGGCTCTGTATATCATTACCCAAGTTGTCTCCAGGAGTCCTTGATCCTGGAAATGGTCCTTACCCACAGGAGGCATACTGCCACAAAGTGGGGAAGGGATGGGAGGAGACGGGGGAGGGAAGGTGCTCCATGAAGGGCATATTTAAAAGCCAAGGGAAAGGTCTTGTTTGGCTTATTCCCTCACGAGAGAGAGAGAGAGAGAGAGAGAGAGAGAGAGAGAGAGAGAGAAGAGGAGAGGAGAGGAGAGGAGAGGAGAGGAGAGGAGAGGAGAGGAGAGGAGAGGAGAGGAGAGGAGAGAGGAGAGAGGAGAGAGCGGATGATGAGGATGTCCCTTCCCAGGGGTTTCTCTCCTCTGATGGTCCTCTGGAAGGAAGGTGGGGACTGTGGCACTTAAGAGTGCTGGGAACACCCCCCAAGGAGTTGAGAAATGGACCAGGCAGTTCTGGGGACTTGCTCGATGCTGCAAGTGATGCTTTCCCAGAGGGGCCCAATGTGTCCCGACTTCAGCTCGATGTGCCACTTAGAAACGCCGTTGCCAGTTTGCTGAGGGGTACAGGGGAGGAGGGCAATCAGTCGCATGGTACAGAGATTAGGGGTGTGTGCACAGGGAAGGGGAACAGGTCCCGGAGGTCTCTAGACAGCAACATACTGTCGTTACCATGGAGTGAATGAGGACCACTCAGCAGTCACAGAAGTAGTCTAGGAAGAGGGAACCTGATGGGGTCCAGGGAGGATAGAGGACGCAAGTAGAGCAAGTGAGGAAAACTAGGAGAGCAGCTGCTTGTTGGGAAATGAAGGGTGTGGCCCATGGTCCCCAGCCTCGGAGCAGTGGACCCTGTGTGCTGTGGGCAGTCCTTCTCTGTGGACCATGCAGCGCCCCTTTTACTCAGCACTTGAGCAAGGAGGCCAGCTTCCTCCTGCTGATCTTACACTCTAGCCCTTGCTGGTCCAGACAGAGCAGGCATTCAGTGTACGCTGTACGGATGGTCATGGCGTAGACGCATGAGTTCCTGGCCCCTAGGTGAGCTGACAGCATGACGCACATCTGTGTGTTTGCATCTCTGGTCACCTGACACCGTGAATGGCTTACTGGGGGATTCTGAGCGAACATCAGTCAATCAGCAACCTGCTGCCGTGGCTCTCGGGCACCACCATCGTTCACTTGAAAGCATTCTCATTACCGTATAGACCTTGCTGTCACCAAGTGACAGAGACCCTCAGTTCCCATCAGCACTGCCATGCTTCTTCCCAGCAGCCCCTGTCTCACTTCACCTTCTGTGTCTCCTCCAGTCATGGAAGTGGCGTCAGGCGAGTACGGTGACCAGAACAGCCGCCTGGTGAGAGCTGTGCGGGAGGGCATGTGTGACTCGGACTATAAGAGAGATCTCGGAGGCGACACGGACGTGAACCCATTTCTTTGGCACCGGCCTGCTGAGGAGGTGATGGAGATGAAGGGATTGGAGTGGTCTGAAGATGGGTCCTGCAGAGCCCTTCCTGAGCAAGGGGGCGTGGCAGACAGGAGACTAACTTACCCCCTGCACTGTGTGTCCTCAGGATTCCGCCTCCATGGAAGGCTGTCACAGCTTCTCAGCCAGCTGCCTCACCCAATTCTGCATCCTCTTCAAGAGGACCTTCCTCAGCATCATGCGGGACTCGGTAAGGGTGTCCTCAATGCTCACACATACACACACACACCCAAGCACACTTTTAAGTTGCTGTGCCTCAGCTTGTATCAGTCGGCTATTACTGCTGTGTTGCAGTAACAAAAGGCCCCAAGATACCTGTATCCACAAGACCCCTATGTGTCTTGACTGCTGTCATATATTTGCTGTGGGTCAAGATGGGCTTGGCCCCATCTGTCTTCTCACTCCAAGCCCAACAAAGGATAACCTCCATATGGGCATGCATAAAGTCCTAGAGGAAGGCAGAGGATTGGGATCATGCAGGAAGGAGACAGGGGATGATGGACCACCTGTCCAGTGGGTACCAGGCAGCCTGCCTGGGGAGGCTGAAGTCCAGTGTAACCTCAGGGTCCTGAGCCGGAGGACCTGTAGCTTACCATGGGCTCATGCTCACAGCAACCCAAGCCGCAGCTCAGGACGAGGGTCTCCAGTAGCGCCGTCCCCACCATGGCTTTGTCTCTTCGGGAGGGAGACCAGCCTTGTTTGCCTGCTTTGAAAAGGATCAACAAAGTGTAGTGATTCTGCCTCAGTAGTACATGAGCTTGACGTGTGTGTGTGTGTGTGTGTGTGTGTGTGTGTGCGTGCTTGTGTGTGCACTTGTGTGACTGCCTTGGTAAGGCTCTGAGTATTTCCCTGAAGGAAAGGAAAGGTGGCTCATATGATCTATCGTCATGGGAATCAGGATCTGACACCTCCAGGGGTCTTGGGCTTGTTCCCTCACACCTGTGCACTGAATGTGAGCTGTGCCTGCCCTTAGGTCCTGACACACCTGCGAATCACCTCACACATCGGGATTGGCCTCCTCATTGGCCTGCTGTATCTGGGGATTGGGAACGAAGCCAAGAAGGTCCTGAGCAACTCCGGCTTCCTGTTCTTCTCCATGCTCTTCCTCATGTTTGCCGCCCTCATGCCCACTGTTCTGACCTGTGAGTGTCCCTTCCCATCCCGGGACTCCTACCAAGGCGTGGGGGCTGAGGCCTTGTCTTGACCAGGCATGACTTTTATAGCATACAGTACCTCCATGCTTCAGATTCAGCCTTTCTATGTTGACCAAAAAGGTTGTATTGTATTTACTGTTGCATAAGAAGGTATTGTATAGTGGGTTGGGGAGATGGCTAAGATCCCATACTGCCCTTTCATAGGTCCAGGACTTGGTTCCTATCACCTATGTCAAATGACTCACAACCACCTATGAACTTTAGCTCCCGGGGTTCCGATGCCTCTAGTCTCTGTGGGTACCTGCCCACAGGTGGCATATACTCACATTTGCACATATACATCTGTGTTTAGAACAGATGATCCCATCTTAATGTAGGCATGGCAGAGGCAATGGAGAGAAAGTCCCCCAAAGTTTGCTGCTCAAGAGACCCTCAGATCCAGCTTGCTGACTGTCCCCACCTGACCAGTGGAGTTCAGCTATTCAAACAGCCAAGGGTGGCCAACCCTGGCCACTCTGGGCCGCTAGGTACAAAGCAGAAACCTAGTGGTTAGAGACCTGATGAACCCAGCAGGGACAAGGCTGATCAGAACGGTCCCACTAGCCACCCCAGGGACATTTGGTGTTCTCAGGAACGTGGTCCACTCTGGGTCTTCATGTAACCACTTGGATCAGTTTCTTTCTTGCTGCTGGTGGGGAAGGCATGGCACGCTTGCTGGCACACATCTGCACACAGGAAGCAGCAGGTGAAAACAGGAAATAGGTTGAGGCTATAGACCCGTAAGTCCCGCCCTCCAGGGATGCACTTCCCCCAGCAAAGCTCCGCCTCCTAAAGGTTCCATAGCCTCCCCAAACAGCTCCAACTGGGGACCAAGTGTTCACATACGTGAGGCCATGAGGGACATTTCTTATTTAAACCACCACATAAGTTTTTAGGTTAGAGAAATGGCTGGTGATTTTCTTTTTCCAGAACAATGAATCTGGTTCCATCTTTTGTTTACAGTGAAAGTATTGGAGTGTTGGTCCACACTGTGACATAGGCCAGAACTGCTAGGATTGGGCCTAAGGCTACTCATGCGCGTATGTGAGTCGCTGGCTGTGTCCACCTAATCACTCTCTTCTCCCTTCTTGCCCTAGTTCCCCTGGAGATGAGTGTCTTCCTCCGAGAGCACCTGAACTACTGGTACAGCCTGAAGGCCTACTACCTGGCCAAGACCATGGCTGATGTCCCTTTCCAGGTACATGAGCCACAGGTGACTGGCAGTAGGGGGCAGGAAATCTCCACACCCACAGAGCCGGATGGGACTGGTTTTTGCTAGTGTCCTACTGAGAGGCAAAGCAGGATTTGGTGGGATCTGTGGGGCCTGCAACTGAAAGGACCGCAGGGGGACAACCGTCCACTGGTGGGACAAGCAGAACCCCCAGGGACACAACCTCTATACTTGCAGATCATGTTTCCGGTGGCCTACTGCAGCATCGTGTACTGGATGACGTCACAGCCGTCAGACGCAGTGCGCTTTGTGCTGTTCGCTGCCCTTGGCACCATGACCTCACTGGTGGCCCAGTCTTTAGGCCTGCTGATTGGAGCTGCCTCCACATCTCTGCAGGTACAGCCAAGGAGGTGCTGAGCTGCACTGGGCTTCCCTCTGCCTCTTTGCTCTAACGAGGCTGCCCCCCTATGGGTCTCGGTGATCCCCTTATTCTTAATTCTGTCCTGAACTTCCAGGTGTCTTCACAAAGCTATTCTCACAGGGAAAAAGTGCTAGTGCCCTCTGTGATCAGGACGACATTCTTACTGAGAAGGAAGAGGCTTGCAGAGTGGTTGTGCCTACACACTGCGCATGCCCAGACATGAGAACCCTGCGGTGCTTTCTAATGTCAGCATGTGTAGTACCAAGCACAGCCCAGGACTCTACTTTACAGGCAGGGAAGACTAAGGACCAGAGATGCCTGGATTGGTTGGCATTACACAGTTTTCTTAGAGGCCGAGCTCTCCATACTTCTATGCTTGCCTCTGTAGGTCCACTTGACCACTCTTTGGCACACCAATGGTGGGTACCCACTCTTCACCTCACCAGGAGTTTCACGTAGCCCTACTCAGTCTCCTTGAGCTTGGTCTCATCTCCAGCCCCCAGTTGCCTCCCAGTCCTTACAAACCCAAGTCACCTGAGGCTCTTGAGGTTCCATGTCAACTCCTGGGTACCACATACTTCCCAGTTCCTCTCCAGTGTCCTCAACAAGGGCTTCCTGGCCTCCAGGGTCCAGGTTCCTCACGGAGAGATGGGAGCAGCCATGGTGTCCGCCTCATAACGTTGTCACAAGAAAACAACACTCTGAAGAGCCTGGGACACACCAGCCCCAAATCAGGCCCGCAGAACATCTGTCACCCCCACGTGAACCTCCCACCTCAGCGTTCCCCGTGCACCCTGCCAGTCCCACCCACACATCAGATCCGGACTGTTTTCATAGATGACTTTATCCCCTGTGTTAAACGCCCCCTGACCCATTTCACCTTCTCAGACCCTTCTCTGCCCCTCCCCTGAGAGTTCTAGACCCCAGAGGGTATATTTGACTGGGTACCAGATGTTCTTTAAGCTCATGTACACAACACTCACACCATACACAATATGCACACATGCTGAATCTTTCCCTCAGAGCCTGGCCAGTGGGAACAGCTACTTGTCAGCCCTTAGTTCTCAGGGATAGCAAGACCTGAGAGGAGGGGGCTTCCAGTGGGTCCCATGGGCTCCCTGAAACCTGGCTCTAGCATTTGGTGCCATTGCTGGTGGGTGACAACATCTCTACCTCTGGGTGGGACCCCCAGAGAGGTGGTCCTACCCAGTTGTTAGCTCCAGGGACAGCTAGAAATTGTTCACTGAAGCCCCTCGGAGACCATTCCTGGAAATTGTTGACCTCTGTCCTCAGGAAATACTTTATTTTTCATTCAATCCCCTTCCTCAACTGGGGTTTCAGGGTCCCTCTTCAGAAGATTAGCCTCTGGCCCTTCCAGAGGACATTCTATTCTTAGCTACCATCCTGGTCTTGGCCAGTCCAGAAAGACTCTGGCCCTTTGAGAGTCCTCCTTTCCTACCACTGGGGATATCCTCGGGGTCACTTGAGTGGGTGGGATGTCCTCTGCCTCCTCCCATGAGTGCTCTTCATGTCCCCACCCTGTCCACCCTGTCTCACTCCAGGTCGCCACGTTCGTGGGTCCCGTGACTGCCATCCCCGTCCTGCTCTTCTCAGGATTCTTCGTCAGTTTTGACACAATCCCAGCCTACTTGCAGTGGATGTCCTATATCTCCTACGTCAGGTGCGTGTGGGCCGTGGCCGGGGCAGGCCCAGGGATGGAATGGATGGCGCTGGAAGGAGGGACTCCTGGAAGCCACTCCCTGGCTGTCCACTGCATCTGCATCCCGGCGCCAAGAATATGCCTTTATGTTTCCCTTAGTTTTGGGCCTCACCCTTCCAGTGCACACAGATGCACACAGACTGCCTCTGAAGATGCTGTGGCATGCCCTCACATTCTGGGCATTTCCAAGGGTGTGTCCACATTTTATGTAAAAAAAACTCCCCAATGAAATTCCGATTACAAAATCTAAACAAGGTGCTACAGAGGCACATTGTGCCTTCTCTGAAACATCCCAGCGCCTTCCCTTCCAGCAGGAGTTTTCTGACTATTCGGGTCCGGGGTCTATCAGAGTTCCTCCCCTCTGTTGAGTGGCTCTCACACTGGCCATTCCCTGGGCAGTCAGTGTCCATCCTTAGTACTTGGCCTGCATCCTCATCCCCACCCCCAGCCGCAGCCATTCCCCTGCATCACAAAGGTCCATGCTGAGAACAAGTGCTGCTTAGGCCCCACTACATTGTTCCAGAGACCAAGGCAGACACAAAGCCCTTGTACAGAGTTTCAGCTGCCCGTGCGCTTGCCAATCCTGGGAAACTGGAGCCCAGCGCCTTTCTTCTGAAGATTGGTGCTTTTGTTCTGTAAGACAAGGCTGGACCCAAAGGGCTTTATTTAAATGCTCCAGTGTTCTTGCCAGGATATCCAACCCATAACTAGACCTGACAGTGAAAAGGTGTGCAGGATTGGAAGGAAGCCAAATATGTTTTTTTTTTATTTATTGGACCAGTGGATTAAATATGGTTCATTCTGTTTTACATTTTCTCTGTTGGCCTTGGAAGAAACAGTATTGGAAGCAAAGGTAGGAGGCTGCTAGGGTGTTGTCTTAGGAAGATGGCTGTGAGCTCAGGAAGCAGTGCAGGGCAGGTACTGAGAGTGGCGAGCCAGCAGAGTGACCTTCCGCCAAGGATGCCCTTCTCACCCGGTGCTCCTCTCCCTAGATATGGCTTCGAGGGGGTCATCCTCTCTATCTATGGCTTGGACCGGGAGGACCTGCACTGCGACATTGCTGAGACCTGCCACTTCCAGAAGTCAGAGGCCATCCTGCGGGAGCTGGATGTGGAGAACGCCAAACTGTACCTGGACTTCATCGTCTTAGGGATCTTCTTCGTCTCCCTGCGGCTCATTGCCTATTTTGTCCTGAGATACAAAATCCGGGCTGAGAGGTAAAACACCTGCAGGCCGGCAAGGAGGCAAAGCAGACATTGTGACCAAGGGCACTGCTGGGAGGCAGCGGTGTGCCTGCTTCTGGTGACACAGACTCTCCCAACCCAACCTGGAGGCCACGCAGGTTGATGGCGACCAGTGCTCAGCGCCTCTGCCCGCCGGGTTGGAACTGTTCGTTTCCTTTTCTAGCTTTAACTAGGAAGATGTAGGATGGTTGGGATTTTTTTTTATATGCAGGATTTAAAACACAACTGATACAGAATGTCATCCTGTGATCCAGCTGGGGACAAGAGGCTTCCTCAGTAGGTTCCTGCTGGAGTCCAGGACACCTTGGCCCTGGAGGAGGAGTGCTGGCCACATTGGTCCCCAGAGAGGTGGATATCTTGTGGGGGAAAAGTCCACAGATGGTGGACTCTACTTGATGGCTGTCGTTTCTTCTTTTCTAAAGTTCGTCTCCTTTCTGATGAAGTCACTTTCCGAGCCAAAGTCGATAAATTTCATTCATTTTGAGAGACTGTACCTTTTCCAGTGCTTCTCCAGGACTGGTTCAGGGTAGGAAAGGTGTGTTTTGCTTAGAAATAGAGGAGTCCCACCTAGCCACCAAGTGAGGCTCACAGCCACAACCACTGAAGGTCAAACGTGGGCTCCAGGCGAGGGAGACCCCCCCGACACCAGCTGTGCTGGGCCAGCAGGGACGAAGAGCCATGCCAGCAGTATGGAGCGGGATGTTGGCAGGCTCTTTCCAGACCTTTCTTTTTCACATGCTTCTATTTTAAGCAAAATAGTTGATTTCTTCTATAGTTTTCTGGCCACTTTCATTTTGCCCAAGAAGTACATAGATCGACCTTGTCGGTTTTTAAAGAACAGTTTCCCCTTTCTTCACGAATCACGTTAACTACCTCCACTGAGCCTGGGAAGCCGGCCTGGGGACACATTGGGTGTGGCCCTTGAAATACGAGGGCACGCGCAGTGAGGGTGTCAGTGAGGGGCAGGCCGGCTAAGTGGAAGGGGAGGTGCCGTGGATGTCCCCTTTAGGACACGCAGCTGCTTGCTTCTGGAGCACCGCCGTCCTACGATGGAGTCTCCTGCAAAAGCCTATATTTTGTGGGTAGGCCCATTTACCCCGTGAGCCTTGGTTTCCACACCTGTAAGTAATTGCACTAGGTCGTGTTCTGACAGGTCCTGAGATGCCTCGGTTGTGGCCTTGAAGCTTTCTTATCTTCCTCTTAGAGAATGATAAGGGTCCGAATTTTACTTAAACGCATGGATGTGCTTTGAAAATATTTAGAGATTCTTTTTTATTTTTTTCACTCCTAGATCTTTTATAGAGAAGACAAATGAAATGCATATTACAATGTAATTTTCAGTTTGCTCGTTCTATACAAACATGGCACTGCCTTCTAGATTCAGCTTTTAACCAGGGACACAATTCGCCTTTATAAAATGTCTTCATTAAAAAAAAAAAAGTCTTGATTTAATTTCAAGATGTTTGGGGGGCATTGCACTGACTCCAGAGGGGAACTGCGGGGGGCACTGCATTGACTCCAGAGGGGAACTGCGGGCTGTCAGCTGGCGAAGTGCAAGTTTAAAGGAACGGGAGTCGGGTGGTCACTTCGAAGTCAGTGCCAAGGAACCCAATCCTCCCCTGTCTCCACCGACGGTTCAGTGTAATGGCCCATGTTTGGCAAGATGTGCCAGGGGCTGGGTTCCTGCACTGAGACTGCTCTGCTGTCAATCAAAGAGGCGGAGTGGTCCATGTCTCATGTCTGGAAGAGTGTCTCGCCCTCTGGAAGAGTTCTTGCGTGTCCAGATTTCTCCTTGCCACTGTGAGCGGCTTGTCACTACCCCTAAGTCAGTGAGGGTATGTTGGGGTCCCTTCATAGAGCAGAGTCTGAGCTGATGCTACAAGAGCTGGTTCACTGATGATGGGCAGGGTGATGAGGGTAGTTGCTAAAGAATGTTGACCAGAATGGGCAAGAGGTCAGAAGTCACCCCACAGGACAGCATTGCTCACTTGTTCTGCAGACTTGAAGAAGGCTGACAGCCATTCTAGGGGAAGCTACATCCTTGTCCCTCATCCAGTGTCCACAGGCGCCCTGATGTGTGCCTTCTGCTTCTCCATATTGTGTTCCTCCATCACTCCCTCACTTATCTGCTTTCCCCGTGTTGTTTCAAGCCCTCAGGCAGGGCAGGGACCTTCCTCAGGCCTTGCCCCAGTGGGCAGCTGCTTCACTCTCCTTATCCAGGTAGGACTGAGGCGGGGAGGTGCTGGCACGATGCTGAGGGGCATCAGAGTCCGTGTCACACACCAGAGTCCACGCTGTCTGGCTTTCCCAGCTGTCATTATTCCAGCGGTGCAACAGTCGGGAAGTGCAGCACCTTTGCAGTGGCTGTCCCCTCAGCCATTCTACCGCTAAGAGAAGGCCAAGACGAGAGGCCGGTCTGCTCTTTGTCTGAGGGACTCACATCCAAGTGCCCGTGATGAATTGTTCTAGCCCGCCCAGGGGCTGACCTCGCCTGTGTCTTAGTGGCAATAGACCTGTTCTTTCCTGTCTGAGCTTCCCAAGGCAACACTAGTGGGCCACTTCAGGTCAAAGAGACTGGCATCCACGCGCTTCGGCTTGCGTGTCGATGCATGAGTTTGCACATACACGCATGTGCACACATGCAGGCCTGCCCCCACACATAGTGTTATTCTATGGCTCTCCCTGCGTGTCAGTAACACACCAGCCTCCAGGTCCTTCCCCATCACGTTACTGCATGGAGGAAAGACAAAATTCATCCATGCCTGTGGCACAGAGGAATGTCCCGTGGGAAATCCACCGAGATTGCTGAGAAACACCAGCTGAATGAGAATGCCACGGAAAGGCAAGCAGAACCCAGCAAGGGAGCTCGAGGAGTGGACTGTGTCAATATAAAGTTAGATACTTGGAAGAAATAAAGACTGCTAATAAAATATTTTATATATAAGTTTTATGTGTTTTCGGTGTCAAATCCACGTTTGTGCCCATCTGAAGATGCATGTGTCTGCCTGGTAAGGGTTCTGATTGGCTGCCTGGTCTGATCCACTATAGAGTTGGCCTGTTCTCTCCAGCGCTTTCTATGCATCTATCTCTAGGTTGTGTCCCCTAGATACCTGACCCATGTCCTCTGCTGTGATCATGTGCTCATGCACCAGCAGCACCAGATGAGGCTTGAACCACTGGAACATGAAGGCTGCCCCCAACGCAACCCCATAGGCAAAGCCAAGACAGCCCTGCCCATTGCTCCTCCTCAGGATTGGGGCAACCGCTTCAAGGAGTGCCCTGCTCGGGGCTCTGATTCTGCAGCAGATAGGTTTCCGTCTAGGCTTGGGTTCTGGGAAGCAGCTCTCACGTGACTGGGTGGGGTCCCCTTGAGATCTGGATTCCCTGAGCTCTCAACCAGGTGACCTGCTGGAATTCACCTTTGAAGAACAGTGGTGGTTAAAGTCAAGTTTCAAACTCCATCTTGCTCCCATCTCTAGGACACAGAGCAGAGGTCAGAAAGGTACACTTCACTGGCCTCTGCAGGGACCTGCAGCATGGGAGGAAGGGTGAGAAGTGAGCACGGTGAGCATAGCCTGGGCATGGGCATGCTGTGCTGTCTGGCCCATTGTGGAGTATGATGTGCTTCTGTTATGTCTCCCAGTGTCCTCTCCCTTCACTAGGCCACCTGTCCTCCTGAAGCCACCTCGCAATACCGGGTTGAGCCTTCTGGTAGTTCTGAAATAAAGCATCTAAGAGAATATACTCAGGACCCTGATGGGATGCCTGGATCTCAGTGCCACTGCAGATGCCCCAGATGTACTCTGATGTGCCCATGACAAAGTTATTTCCAAATTAGAGACTGCAAGAGATTGACAGCATTAGCCACCAACAATTGGAGTGGTCGGGCAAATATAGTCTCCCTTCTAGTCTTTCAAAGTAGCTTCAACATTTTCTGATCGTGATTGACCATGGATAACTGAAACTGGACTGGTTGGGCGAAGGTACTCAATATCCCATGCAGAGATGACCCACCCCAATGCTGTGCGAGTCTTAAGCTTTCCCGTGACCATTCAGGGCTCTGCCCCTTCTGGCTTGCATCCTAGGAAGAAGAGAGTTTGAGCTCCACTTGTATTGTCTCTGTGCAGATCTTTGCAGCCTCCGCAGTGTGCTGGGGGCAGCAAGAAAGCCAATGCCATGTGCAGTTTGCATGACTGATTCCAAGGGACACAGGCCAGGCTTCAGAGCCTCATGCCTTTGCATCCTCAATACTGTCCCCTGGCATCAAACTAACTGCATGTGTTCCCCATCCCAGTCATAAGTGGGTACAGCCCAGTTCCCTCCAGATCAGATGATCAGTGCAAAACAGAGCCAGGAAAGCAAGCAGAAAGCCCCCCTTGTTTGACCCAAATGCAGAACTACGCAAGCCTATAGCCTGCTCTGTCAGGCTTCAGGTGTCGGGGAGACATGGGTACACTCTGGGGCTCTCTAAGACATGCTTGTGCCCCTCTAAGATGCTTCATGACACTTCTGCCACCTATGCCTTTCAGGTCCTCTCAGGAGTAATATCACTGAGACTCATTTGAGAGCAGCCTTTCCACCCTGAGCTCTTGCGAAGGGCATAAGCCCACTCCTGTATTAGGGTTTCCATTGCTGTAATGAAGCACCAAGATCATAGCAACCTGGGGAGGCAAGGGTTTATTTGGCTTACACTTCCACATCACTGTTCATTACTGAAGGAAGTCAGGACAGGAACTTAAACAGGGCAGGAACCTGTTGGCAGGAGCTGATGCAGACTCCATGGAGGGGCACTGCCTGCTGGCTTGTTCCCCATGGCTTGCTCAGCCTGCTTTCTTATAGCACCCAGGACCACCAGCCCAAGCTGGCATCACCCACAATGGGCTGGGCCTCCCCCCATCAACCTCTAATTAAGGAAATACCCCACAGCCAGATGTGACAGAGGCATTGTCTTAATTGAGGCTCCCTCCTCTCAGATATTTTAGTTTATGTCAAGTTGACATAAGACTATCCAACACAACTCCATAGACAGGACAGTAAACCTTGGCACCAACCCATAGCCCCTTCAGTGAGGTCGCTGTCAGTGCAGCAGTGCTGGTCCCCTCTACCTGTCATCGTGGGATGCACAAAACAGCATCGCCAGTCACTGGGGATGTTGTTTCTGAATGGAACTTTGCAGGGGGTGGGGGAAGGAAGCAGGCTCGCCTTTCTCTGGGGTGTCACCAGCATAGTCTCCCCTCCTAGGGGGACGTGAGGGCCACATCCTTTGCTGGGTGTGATGCATTCTGCTTTGAAAGGACAATGACAAATGCATGTGAGTGTCCGAGGGTGCCCTCTAGTGGTCACTGGGGCTGCACACGCACAGTATGAGGAGCAGATCTGTTCTCTAGAAGACAAGGGTGGCCAACTAGAGTTAGAGAGTTGGGGTCACAAGATGGAAAGACTGCTGTGACCAGGCCAATGGAGACAAAGACAGCTTCAGAGAAAAGCAGCTAGTAATCCCTGTGTCCAGAGAGAAGGCTGGAAATAGAACATGATCAGCCTGGAAGGGGACGAGCCACCTGAGAAATGACAGGCAGGACCCCGGGCAACACACTCAAATCTCAGAAACTCAGATTCTGACTAAGTGAGAATTGGTCGATAGTCACACAGTTTGTTCGGATTTTGTTTGTTTGTTTGTTTGTTTTGTTTTGTTTGTTTTACTTGCTTGAGGCAGGGTCTCACCATGTAGCCCTGCCCAGCCTGTAACTCATTGTCTAGACCAGTCTGGCTTTGATTTTGCAGGAATCCTTCTGCCTCCCAAGTGCCCCATGATATAAACCAATATATCAAATCCCCTTGTATAATATACACACATTCTGTTCCTCTAGAGAACCCTAACATACACACACACACGGTACCACCTCCCCTCCGCAGTCCATAATCAGGTCTGCACATGAACATTTGAAAACTTTACACATTCCTATTAAGTATGAGAAGTGAAAGATAAACTAGCTAATGGGTAGGTATCCACCTGTCCATACTCCAAAGGATGTAATAAGGGACCAGGGTGCCGGAGCCCCTACACAAAACCACAAAAGCAGGCCACCTGTAGGACAGGAGCCCTGGCATGGTGAGTGGGCAGCTGTATAGTGTGAGCATCACTATACTGAAGAGAACACCGTGCCTACAGCTCCATGCTAGGTAAATGCAAAACACTGTAAGTCGGAAAACAAAAACAACCTGCCTGGAATTTAATTTGTTTTGTTTTTTGTTTGGTTTTGTTTGGTTTTGGTTTTGTCAACATGACACAAGGTTGAATCCTCTGGGAAGAGGAAACCTCTATTGAGAAAATGTCTCCATCAGACTGACCTGTGGGTAAATCCGTGGGCCTTTTTATTGATTGCTGAGAGATATGGGAGGGAGAGGCCTGCTGAGGCAGAGCCACCCTGAGACAAGTGGTCAGGGTTATGTAAGAAAGGAAGCGGGGCAACCCATGGGGAGCAGGCCAGGAGGCAGGGTTTCTCCGTGGCCTCTGCTTCCATTCTTGTGTCTGGGATCCTGCCTTGAGTCCCCTCAGTGATGGACTGTAACATGTAAACCAAACCAACCTTTTCCTCCGGCTTGTTTTTGCTCGTTACTGCTATAAAGAATAAAACCAGGACATAACCTATGTCAAGATGGCAGACAGGAAAGGGCCTGGGTTCAAATCATGACAGCAAGTTTGCAGCCACCATGAGCAGACAAGATTCTGGGTGGTCACAGACAGAGGCAGCGGTCTCTGGAAGGAGACTTGGCACAGCACAGACACCATCATCTATATCCTTGTATCTACTCAAAGCCAGCCTGGTCCCCACATTCACATGACACTCAGACATGCACCCCACGTTGCTAAACACACACGGGCAGTACAGAGACTATGTCTCTGAGCCCAAATGCACCCCATGCCCTAGATAGAAACAACACAAAATGGGTTTGGATGTGAGATACCTGTCTTTGGCCCATGTGTGTCCCACGATCACACAGGACATCACAGGCATGCTGCAGAGTGACACTGGGCTTGTCAGCCACAGCCAAGTAGGTCTCAGCACCTTGCTGACTCAGTGATAGTGCCATAGAGATGAACAACCATAGGACACCACACAGTCCAAAGCCAGTCAAGGAATCACTGCTGCAGGGTTGGACTCTGGCAGGAGGCAGGGAATTTGGGAAGCTGGAGAGTAGATGACAAGAGGTGAAGAGCAGCCGCCACTCCAGGCTGCCAGCAGAGGGCGCTGTGAACCCGTCTAAGTTTTATTCAAGGTTCTGATTCAGTCCAGATGGGCTCACAGCTGCCTTCACTTAGGCCTGGAGGACACTCCCAGAAATTCTAGCGTGAATGCCACGCTCCTGGAGGGTAGCCAGATTGCCTTCAGCTGAGCCCACACCACCCTACCCGAGGCCCTGAGGAAGGGGCAGCATCCTGAGTTCCCGTGGACAGGGAGAGCCAGGCAGAGAGAGATGGGCGGGTGCTGCAGTAAGAGGAAGATGAGGACCAAGACTGCTGCACCCAGGAGAGCAGAGGACTCCAGTTCACCTGCCCCACAGAGAAGGGTGCTCTGCTCAGAGGGACAGTGACTAGAAACCAGAGAGCAACAGGACCCAGTTTTCTTCTCTAAGCTTCAGGCAGGAAGGTGGCCAGTGTGGATGGAGAGTTGCCACAGTCAAGCTGGAACCGTGAAGTTCAGATCCTGCAGACCGTTACAAACAGCTGGTCTGGAACGGGGTTTGCATTTTATTTGTGTAAGGCAAACACAGACTTTACACGCCAGAGAGGTTTTCTAAGGGACTGGGGTGCTTAACCTGCAAAGTCAACCAAAGCTGACAATCCCAGTTGTGGGTGAGGAGAGAGAACCTGACCCGTCCTGCCAGCCTGGAAGGTCCTCCCTGTTGACCACAG